TTTGTTTTCATGCTTGTTATTTTTTTATCAGTGACTGCAATACTTTAGGCGGGATTCTGATCCCATACCCGTTCTTCGTACGTCGCTTATTACATCCGAGATGAAATGTCACATCCAAGATTATATCATAGCGCTAATCAGGATCTGGCTAATTCGGTTCTTCAAACACACCTGTTGTTGATGATTAGTATGGCTGGATTGAGTTATCTGAGATAATTGCGCGTTCATGGGTTGGTTTAAAAGGGGCTCTGTATCCATACTTGAAACCACGATCAGCAATGCAGCGATTGGCTGGCGGCAAGACAGCAACGTAATGACATAATTTCATTAAAAAAGACACCTGACGAAAAACTTGACAAATTTCTGGACTTTTATAAGGAAAACTAAACTACATAAATGTTATAATAGATCAATGAAATGTGCACTGTTTTTAATTTTACTTTATTTTTTTGCATGATTCCCAATTATTTTTATTCGCGATTTCTAATATTTGTACAGGCTTTACATTTTTATTTCAATTTAGTAATTAGCAATTCATTTAATTTTATATTTGAACATATTTGTTATGTGACAGCATTAATTAAAGTTTCTTAAGGGTCAAGATCATGGCTGCGTTCAGCCCCGACAAAAACGGTTCAAAACGTTTATTAAACGGAAACGGTGGTGCGTTGAACACCCTGTTCTGATGACGCAAGAGTTGCAACTATGGCAGCTGAGAAGGCCATTCTTTGTGTTCTTTTTGAAGAATTTTCGGAGACTGATGAAATCGGTATAAATACGTGTTTAATACTGCAAAATACACTCGATGGTACAGTCATTGCCCTTGCCCTCCAGAATAAAAGCACCTCCTGCGCCCCACCAAGCCACTCCCATAATATCTGTCATCACTCAAATTAATGCACGACTCTACAATATCTGTATAGCACGTGTGTAAGACTCCAATACAATGATGAAGTGATTATTTTATGACGAATAAATCTCTCAGTGAGTAAAACTGGCTGCGTCTATAGTATTAAAGGCTACACAACATTATTATATTATCTTTAAATAAATTTTTTAAATGATTATTATTTTAAATTATTGTCCCTGGATTAGTAGGGTACTCTTGTAATAAGTGATGTTTTATTAACAAATTTCGGGAGGAGCACGCGCAGATAATTAACACGGCCAGTCCATCATCAGTGATTACACCATCTATCCAATCAGCACAAGAGAGAAGCTCTATCAATAATCAAAGCAGCCTTACCTCCATTATCTCTAGTCTTTCAGCATCCCTCCACCACCCCGACTCCTCACCTTCAGCCCGTTCCTACCCCAGCACGGGGAGGAACACTCGGGGGTAGTGCTTTGGGTCCGGGCTAAAAGCCGAGCTCGGACCCCTCTCCCCGGACAGCACGCCAAATACGCATAACCTTTACTCTGTTCATTATATGTAAGTGTGAACTCGTGAAAGTAGCGGTGACAGATTTTAAGTATCAATTCTGCTTAAAAAGATGCAATCTATTCCTGTTTACATGAAATAAGCCTGCTCCCGAGCAGGTTTAAGCGAACGGACCTGTTGCTATGACAGCAACTCCGGGATGAGCTTCGAAGAACCAAATGATCCAAGATCAAGCCAAATCATCAACAATTCTTTTGCAGTTAACATGCATCTTTTCTTCTCCACATGTTTTTGACTGACCCTGCTGACCCACTGAGCATTTTGCCGTCCAATGGTTATGCATTAACGTTGCAATTTCTAGTATTGTATTAATTTTTAATATTTCTCATGGGGTAATGAAAAGTTCGACACACACTTGTGGTCTTCACACCCACTTGAAGACTTCGGCCAAATACAGGAAATACGTAATTTAAGTAATCAAGTGGTCAAGTGCAAAGACTGCAAGTGTGGGTATTTGGACAAAGCCTGTGTCCTGTGCACTCGCAAATCTCTCTGTGCCATTGCGCTATAGATATTAACTCTTTTCGCACCTGAATTAAACGTTGTCAAAAGTTATCAACCAATCAGATTTCAAAGATGGATCTGTAATTTCTTTACAATGTAATACTACTTAGTCATAATATTAGAAATGAAACGGGTGTTTGGATGATTTGTAAATAACCTAGTTTAACAGTTTGGTCAAACCCTTCTGAACGATCTAAACAAACAAAAAAGCGTATGATTCTTAAAGTTCATGTGGTCATATAGGGAAAGAAATTAAAGATCCATCTTTGATTGTCAAAAGAATTCCAGGTTCAGTTCACTCAGCCAATTAGATTTCACGTGGTATTTTCATCGGTCAGTTGTGGAGGTCTGATTGGTTAAAGCTTAATTTATATAGTACCTTTTAAAACAGTTTTTACAAAGTAGCCTATTTTACAGAGAGATGCATATGTACATTTGCAGAAAAAATCAAAATACAAACATAAAAGTAAAAGAGATATAGTGAAACAAAGTAGTTACAATTTGTTTTAATGTGCTTTCGCGCTACAATAATGTGCTCTCGACATTTGTCATTCAAATAACGCCATAGAATTATGGCATAATGTAACGCTGGGTTGTGTTGAGCAAACGAGCCGTTGGCATTTAGGCTGCGTTTACACTGGCACAAAAAATCCGACCTTTTGCTCACATCTGACACAGATCGGAATTTGTTGCCCACCAACAGACTGATTCCTCAGGTTTTGGCCTGTGACCGCCATAAAAATTCCTTAGTACCTTTGGACGCAGCAGCAGTGGGTGAAACAAAGATTCAAGATTCAAGATTATTTGTCACGCACTTTTGTGTGCTCAAAATATGATATTTTGCGCGCAGAATTGTGGCAGAAATCTAAGCCTATACATCGGCGCCTTCTTTGATCTCCTTTGTCCATTTTTTTGTTTTGTTTTTTGTTTTTTTGTACTTTGTACTTTTGGTGAAAAATAAATGTAGCGAAGATGAATACTTTAGCTACTCAAGT